GAGGGAGGGGAAAAATGAGGAGCTGATACCCAGGGCTCAAATAGAAAGCAAATGTTTTGAGAATGAGGAGGGAAACAGATGTACAAATGTTTGACACAATGAATGTATGTATGGATTGTGATAAGAGTTGTATGAGTCCCCAATATAATGATTAAAAAATAAAAAAATTTTAAAGTTAAAACTAAAACTAAAACATTTTTTTTAAAGAAATACCATATATACTCATGTATAAGTTTTTCAGCACATTTTTAATGCCGTTTTTGTGGTAAAATTAGGTGCCTCGGCTGATATTCGGGTCAGCTTATATTTGAGTATATATGGTAACTGCATTGTGTCCCTGCAGCCCCTTTTGTCGACAGTCGGTTATTTCATATAAGCGTCTCATCTATTTCATACAGCTTGCTTTCAAGGCTCATTTATGCTGCGGCATGTTTAACATCTTCACTTCTTTTTTATGGTTGACTACTATTCCATTATATGCATGTACCCTATTTTGTTTATCCATTCACTGGTTTATAGAAACTTGGGTTGTTTCCACCACTTGAAATAGGTTTGGATTAAAGATTAAGTGTGAAATTATTTTTCATATATACACATATATGCATTGGTAACATTATACCCGCCTCCCCTGCCCCACTACCACCTAATGTAAAGGGGGAGCCCTGGGGGTATGCTGGGCTGGGTACTGGGCTGCTAACCACAAGATTAGTAGTCTGAAACCACCAGTTGCTTCACAAGAAAAAATGAGGCTTTGTGCTCCTGCAGAGTTACAGTCTCAGAAACCCACAGGGTTTCTATGCTGCTGTGTAGAGTCAAGATCAGTCAGAACCAAATCAAAGGCAGGGAGTTTGGGGTTTGGTTTATTAATATAAACCAAATTTTACTGATATAAAATTTGCCCATGTGACAAAATCCTTGGGAGGGAGTCAAGACGGGGTCCAGGTAGAACCACCCACTTGGCGTTCCTGTCACTACATCAGAAAAGTGACAGGCATGGGAAGCAGGCCCGAGGAGAAAGCAATGGGACTGAAGGTTCTGCAGGGACTTAGGGGAGGAGGCGGGGAAGGGAGCGGTGAGCAAACAACGCCATAGACAGGGGCACAACTAGGGAATTAAATCAACAATGAGGAAAACAGAGATCCTGTGGGTGATGGAGCAACAGCAGTCTAGCTGAGAGGAATTATAAGAGACAGAAGGGCAAGTGTAATGGTGGGAAAGGAGAAAGGTAGAAAGAAACAGGAAAGATCTAGGAATCAAAGCTATGGATAACGTAGGTGTGCATTTATAGGTGTAAATCTATTAATTCATATAAATAGAAGTATTGGCATAGGTACACATATTTATCTGGCACTACAATGAGGAAGTGGATGGACTTTGGTCTCTGCTCAAGCCCTCCCTCAGTGCAAGAACACTTTGTTCTAACAACCTGGCATTCTGTGATGCTCCCT